ATATATGCACGTAGATCTATTTCCCCACCATCCTATATAAATATATTTACATATGTACATGCCTATATTTCGACCAATACCCATTTTCTCCTAGTTCTCTCCTCTATTCCCTTTTGCTTTCCTCTTGTCTCACTATAATGCTCAGCCTTCATTTGGGTTTCAGTAATTTCTCTCGGTTATATTGCCCTTGCTGAATCCCTCTCACATCCTCCTTGCCACTAATTTTGGATCACTTGTTATTCCCTTGTCCCTGGGTTGGTCAACACCACCTCCTTACCCCCACCTCCTCCTCTCCCTTGTCACCCCAGAACCATCAGTCCCGTTGTTTTCTCCTTCAGATTGTTCATCCCACCTATCTTATCTAGATAAATCTGCAGAGATATTAATATGCACCAAAAAACACGGCATAGCAAGACAAAGCAACAAAAGAGAACACAACGATGACAAAAAAAGAAAACCAATGACCCAGAGAAGAATAAGTTAATTAAAAAAAAGAAAAAGAAAAAAATTTAAAAAGCAAGAAAAACCTGTAAATAGATCAAGGTCTGATTTTTGACCTCTAGGCATGTCCTCCAGTCAGGCCTGATGGGGTGCCATAGGCTGGCCCCAGAGTCTATCCTTTGCACTCCCTTGGGAGCTCCCTGCTCTGCTCCCCAAGTTGCTCTGCTACAAAACCCCAGTGTTTTGCCTCGGTGTCATGGGGTCTGTCCGGGCCAATCCTGACACTGAGTCTCTAGTGTTGTCCCCCGTAGGGCCATGGGTCAGCGAGGGACATCGTGTCTCCTAGTGGGATCAGCCATATGGTCCTCTCTGCATTAGCTGTTCGGAGTGGAGATATTGTCCTCCAGGTCTGGTGGGCCCGGATGTGCTCCACTCTCTCTTCCTCCCCATTCATTTGCTCCCGTGTGCTCTGATTAGACATGTCTCTCTCCCCTAGCTGTAGCTTCAGGACTGTCCTCTAAAGTAAATTATTCTTTGGGGAGCGGCAGTTGTTTACATAGCTGGTATGGGGGCCTAACCCTCAGGCCCCTCCCCTGGCTTCTTCTCCATGCCTGCACACTGTATTTGTATCCCGGAACACTGAATTTAAGTCTGGTTCCTCTTTCCCTGTGGAGACAAACAATACTCTCCCCTCCCAATTTACTGATCTGGCAGCAGGAGCTCCGCACAGGTGAGTCTTAACTAGTTGCTATTTTCCTCCACCTCTCCTTGCCATCATCATTTTCAAAGCATTTTCTTTCTACTTGAGCCCTTTAAATCATTTCCTCCTTTTTTCCCTTCCTCCCTCATGAACCTTTGATAAGTTATAAAGTATTATTTTCATATCCTACATTGTCTGCTGTCTCCCGTCACCCACCTTTCTGTTGTTTGTCTGCCTAGGAGGGGGTTATGTTGTTCCTTGTGATCAGTTCCCCCTTACTCCATCCACCTTTCCCTTACCCTCCTGGTATCTCTGTTCTCATTGTTGGTTCTGAGGGGTTTATCTCCTGGATTCCCTGTGTTTCGAGCTCTTATCTGTAGCATTGTACGTGTTCTGGCCTAGTCATATTTGTAAGGTAGAATTGAGGCCATGATAGTTGGGGAGAGGAAGCATTAAAGAACTAGAGGAAAGTTATGTTGCATCGGTGCTATGCTGCACCCTGACTGGCTCATCTCTTCCTTGTGACCCTTCTTCAAGGGGATGTCCACTTGTCTAAAGATGGGCTTTGGGTCTCCATTCCCCCCGCCCCCCATTCACATTGGTATGATTTTATTCTGGGTCTTAGATGCCTGATATCTGATCTCATCGAGACCTCATGATCACACAGGCTGGTGTGATTCTTCCATGTGG